GGGGGAGGCAACAACAGCCTTACCTGGCTCGGTCGCTGCTAGTGGGAGGAGGGGTGGGGGAGGGGGAGGCAGAGAAATCCTGCTCGGGGACGAGAGCGTCGGTGGGCGGGACGGGGGGATGCACGCTCGGTGGCGTGGAGGAGGTTTTACGCGTGGACGACGAGCCCCTGCGCGACACCCAAGAAGTGTCCATCACCCTGACACCCATGCTGCAGTGGGACAGAGATGCACAGCCAATCAAACCAAAGGAGGGCCAGAGAGTGTGTGGTTCAGGGGTTCAAGGTTGCCACACCCAAAACACAACGTCAGGGGTGAAAGGCTAAACAAAAGCTTTCCCCTCCGTCATCTGTGCTATTTAAAAGGCCTGACCCCGGATCAGGGAAGAGGGTCACCGTGCTTCACCCACTCTGAACGGTGACGATGCTCAGCATGCAGCAACACAGAACAACACTTCATCTGCACTGTGTCACATGGATTAAATGGAGAATTCTCTTATCTGCTACACAGGTATGAGTGAGGTGAAATGGTAAAGATTCATCAACTGCAAAACAAGAGCGCTTTAAATGAAGATTTTAACTGCTTCCCTCAGATCACCACTTTGCTCGTATTGTGCAGTCAGTGGAACTAAGCCAGTGTTATGGTTACTAATTACACCTCTGCTTCTTCTGTTGTGACAGCTCAAATTGTTCACTGATGTTGTCGAGAGGAAAAGATCAACATCGTGTCTGTCTGTTAAAATAAAAACGAGAGCTAGCGTGGCTTAGCTTAACTGAACGCATGGTGAAACAGCAACACTTGGTCCAGAGGTTACAAAATCTGTCTGCCGGCACCTCTGTAGCTCATTAAATAACATTTATCTCTTGTGTAAAAACGCCAACTTGGTGATTTTTTTTTTGTGTCACACTATTTATTGACTAATTAGTGTCACAGTTGGTTGTAATGAGGTGACCCAGTTTCCAGTTTTGTCTGCCAGACAGCAAGGTCATCAAACACATGTATTTCATTATACTTGTTGAAATTAACCATTTTTAGTCAAGGCTGATTGCTTCTTTTTTTTTTTTTTTTTAATGTGCTATGTGTTTTATTTAGTGTGCACTTGTATCAGCTAATAATATCGTACCACGAGCTCAAGTAGTTCAATGTGTGTTGCAGCGCTACATTTGCTTGGCATTGGCTGAGTTCTGATGTTAATTTATTGGCGCAGTGATTATAAACCTGCAGAGCTTTATTTTGGTGTTCTGGAAGCAAGTAGAACATGCAGAATATTTATATTTTTGATGATTAGCAACACAATGATAAGTCGATGTTAAAAAACAAACTGCAGCGTGGAGACTCTTTAGCAGTAGCTGGTTAATCTAGTTGTAAGATAATATTAGTTAATCCAAGAGCACACCAAAGACTCTGTCTGTTTAATGTGACGTCTCTTTACAGTCTCCATGCTATGTTTTGAAAATGTAAAGTTAAAAACTAGAATTACAGCCTCACAGTTGTACACCTCCGTCAACCAGTCAAGTCGCATGTTACTTCCATGTCTGTCTACTTTGACCTTTGACCCTTTGGATATAAAATCCAAATTTTGTCATAATTAGATCATAAATTATTCAGATATGGGGAAAAAAAGCATACTTTGTGAGATCACAATAATGTTTGACCATCAGTTCTACCTTGAATCCAACTCAATATTTGTGCCTTATTAGAAATTTGAAAAATTATTCCCTCAAGGAAGGGACGGACGTTCGGACAATTTAAAAACATCCAGCGTCGACCAACAAGGAGGCATAAAAACACAAATATTAACACATTCTGACCGTGACAGTTTTATGACAGCTGGAGAGCTGATCTAATTAATGAATGCTTTTATTCCAGCTCTGGAAGCCATTTGTGCTGTTTATTAGACAAAAAAAATGGTCATATTTGCTAAAATGCAGGTGGAGGGGATCCCACAGACGTAACCCAATATGTTGGTGTTTCTGGTGCCGACGGGAAAAAATAATGTGTGTGATCATTAATAAAGAGTAAATCTGTGCTGTTTCCACCTGCTTCCAGTCTTTACGCTAGCTGTAGCTTCACATTTAGCACGATGATAATCACAGAATGTGATCCTTCAATATGAAATACAGGAAAAAAACTTAACTATGCCGTCAGCTGAGCAACAGAAGACTATTGTACTCACAGGCTGAACAAGTCAGTCCAGTATCACAACCTGCAAAGATGCTACTTGTGTAAACAGAGAAAAACAGCTGCTTTGTTCGCGTCCCCCGACTCTGTTGAGACATTGAACTATCGGAGTCCAAACGTGCCATTTCAGACGCACCCAACCGCAGCGGCAAACACACACACACACACACACACACGACAAGTGACGGACAGCTGCTGTCGTCGTGCAGCTGAGACGAAGGGATGATGAACGGAGCGATGCTTGGATGACAGGAGGAGAAGTGAGCTGTACTGTACCTTTGAATCTTCCTAATGCTGCATTGTTGGAACAGAGACAAGCACAGTGAGGACAGGAGCAAAGATCATTAAAGACAAGAGGCTGCCGGCCTCGTTAGCAGCAGCCATATCAAAGTGCAACTCTGGCAGGGTAAACTTTTAAGAGGAGCCAATGTGGAGGAGCAGCAGAGTGAAACAGCAGGTCCAGCCTGGCTTGGCGTGGCCCGGCATGGCTCTGCCTGCTGAGCGTAATGAGGATCTGAGGGGTGAAATGTGCTCTCCCTCAAGTGCTTCATCCACGTCAGACCCAGAGAGGAAATTACTGCTCCATTTAGCTCTAATTAGGTCAATGTTTCCCTAATGGATACAACAAAATCCCCCTAAAATAAAAGAGCATGTGAGAGGTTTCTTGCAGAAGTTTGGTTTCTTCGCAGCAGCGACGTCTCGTTTACATGCATCAGGCAGAAAGTTGTGTGTTCGTGGTGCATCGATGAGACGGTATATCACCAAAAGAAGAGTCCAAAGTTTTCTCCTTAACCTTCTAAACCTCGAAGCCCACCGGCTGACAACATTTATCAGAGCCAGAAACTTTCAGACAGTCCTTGAATTACTCATCTGCTGAAAAATCTGAGCTTAAAATTGCAATATTTTATCAAAATCACCCCAAAATAAACCGTTTGCACAAACAAAATTCTGTAAAAAAAAATATAAAAATGAAAATTTCAGTGTTCCTCAGCTCAACTAAGAAGCCATTAGTGACCGATCAGTCACATGACAAAAAATCACAGACTTCTCAGTTGAACTGCAGAATGTGTATAAACAGAACAGAGAGAATTAAAAATGAAAATAGTAAAATATCTGTAATATGTAGCAACACCATTTTTTCCAGTAGTGGAATTATGTTGTATATATGTTGTTGTATTGAATACAGTTTTTCCCCCAAACTGGAATTCACAAATTAATGCAAAAAAAATCAAATTCTGTTTTGTTTTGTTTTTTCAAAACCAGCGAAAGCATTTCTGGCTTCATAAACACAAAAAGAAAAAGTGGTCAGACGTGTTCATTTAATTTGGATACGAAAAACAAAAGTGGCTCTTTTTTAATTAATTTTTTTTTAATTTGAAACCAAAGAACAAAATGATATGGTTCATTTGCTTTTTGCTTCCAAATGAAAAACAAGAAGACCAAACTACATTTTGAAGGTGTTGGCTTTTAGCTATTTTGGCAAAGCCTAACTTCTGTCACCCAGTCAATTACGCAGAACTTTAAACCTTAATACAATTTAAATGATTGAGTGATATAGACATTCCCGACCCTTACAGCTATTGTGAATGAGAAGATTAGCTTTAGAGACCAAAACCCACTTCTGTACCTGGCTGTATATGTGTTTATTTCTGCTCGAAATACATTGCAATGTGGAGATCTTTGGAGATGAACTCACATTTAGAGTCGTCCTCTAGTGGACACTGGAGGAACAGTTTTTGCCAATTCTATGTTAGTTTCATTTTCAGCCCGAGAATTTAACGCTCGACCAGAGGAGGGTGCATGAAGTAAAAAATTAAAACTCTCCCATGTGTGGAGCTAAGTTCAAAAGTCTTTTTCAGATAAAAAAATTAAGACAACTTCTGTCTCAAAGCCTTCTGAAGAGTCATCTGTGTTCCTCTTCTGAAAGCTGAGCTCTATTGATCAGACCCACTCAGTCCAGGTTTAATTAGCCGGGCTACTCATGCTCTCCAGGCTACAGAGCTCAGCCTCCCCGCCGGGCCTGATAAGACCAGGGGTGTATTAAAGCATTAGAGAAAGACACTCAGAGACAGACAGTGAAAGAGAAAAGAAAGCGACTGACTGGTTTTCAACTAATCCTCCTCCACGGCTTGAGGATTGTCGGATTGCTCATTTCACAGACTAAATGTCAGCTCCCCTTTCGTCTTTCTCGCTTTCAGCCGTCTCACCGGGCTGCATAGAAAGCTTGAGGGCAGGTGCAGCAGATAAAGAGTGAGACAGTATCCTTTTCTGTCCGCCTCACAGAGAAACTGAGCTTTTCGCCGGGGTCACTTCTCACATGAAACTTGTGTAATCAGCGGGGAGTTTTCTCAGTCTTACTTCACATGTCCGACCCTGTCAGGAGGCAGTCGCGTGGAAACTTTACCTGCCTCCAAGTGGCCTGTCGAGTTTTAAAAAAAAAAAAAAAAGTCTCTTCAGCTGACAGTTGGGCGAATGAATGTGAGGAGACCGGAGGAGAGGTGGAGGAGACTGCTGATTGATTCAGAGGTGGAGTGACATGAAGTGTAATTACTGGGAGGCTTCACATGAGACGACTTGTTTATAACCAGCTTCCCTCTGACTGGGAGAGAAATGGATTATTGGAGGAGCAGTTATGGATTATAGAGATGTGCTGCCTTCAATCAAACCACGAATGTCCACGAGTAGAGCGTCTGTTCCAATATTTTTTGTCTTTTTTTCTTGCATTTTAAAAGAATATTAAAAGCACATCTGCAGCTCATTTAGATGTGCCAACAGATATTTTATGATTCTGCTCAGTTTACTTGCTTAATTTACTCACTGTTACATTCACAGAATCTAGAAATATCTACATTTTTTGCACCTCCTATTATAAATACCATCTTCTTATATACTGAATTTATAACTGTGGTGCGTATTAATGAAGCTACATTAATGTAAAAGTCACCTAAAATAAATGCTACGAGTTCTAAATGTAACTTTTTGAACAGCTTGCTGGTACTTTACAGAACTTTCCTGTTTAGTTTAATTGCGGATTAGAACAAGTAAAATCTTTTTTTTTTTTTAATTTACATGTATGAACCCTTAAAAAAACAAACAAAAAATGTAAATTATATCTGTCAGTTTTGTCACAGGTTTAGCTGTATATTAATTAGCAAAATCGTTTTAGAGATATTTGCTTTTTTTTTTCGAAAGAACAAGTATGTACATCAAGAATTTAAAAAATGAAAGAGAATTATTTTAAAATGTCTAAATCAAAAAACAGTGTTTTTACAAATAGTATTCTTTTCTTTTACAACATTAAAAGTTAAAATAACACAGTTTGAACTCTATTTAAAGAAGATAAATTATGCAAATGAAGGACATTACAGATAATATTTAGTCATAATAAAGAGAGAAAAAAAAGATAATTTATATGTAACTTTTTCTTTATTTTTTTTAATGGCTAAAACTCTACATAATATCCATATCAAAGATTTGTAATTTTACAAATGTTAATTTTCTTTAATAGCATTTGACTGTAAAATACAGTATTTTTACTATATATAAATTTAAAAAAATATAGCTAATTATTTTACAGATATTTGCTGTTATTTTCACAAATCTACAGTTTTGGAACTCCATAGTTTTGCACACATTTTTAACGCATTTTATTTTACTTTTCTATGGAGCATGTTGCCTACTGCATGTCTGAAAAGGGCTTTAGTGTACAATAGGAAATGAAGAACATCTATCTGTGTGTCTGATGCTATCTGCAGGGTTTCAGGGATGGAAACGTTGGTCTATCAGTCAACACTTTGGTCACACTTGGCTCCTTTGTTGACTCTTTCTGCTTCTGGTTTCGGTTTCTGTCAAACATTTATGCTCAAGTAAGCTTTGCTCTAAAACCTCCCCAGGCCGGCGTTTTGCAGATCCTCACTTTTTCTAACATCTTCTAGATTTGCTCATGGTCCTAAAACTGCTGCTACATGTGTTGAAAATGCGATGTGAACAGAGACAGGAGGCTCATACCCGTCCTTCTTATAGAACTCCAGCATCATGTTGTCCGTGGCGACGCTGAGCGGCCGTCGGCTCTGGTCGTTCTGCTTGCGATCCATCTGGTCCATGTCCGGAGACGGCATGGAGCTGTAGTTGGCGTTATGGTTGGTGTGGACGGGGCTGCCGTAGTTCCCTGTGACGTTGAACTCGATTTCTAAACGGAAAAAGACAGAAGAAACAGAAATGATTCAGGGTTTTATGTTGCAATCCAACCTTTCCATGCGTTTCCACTCCTTCCTCACCTCCGGGGAAGAACCAGTCGGCGTGCTGGATGATGGGCTCGATGATGCCGACGATCTGCAGCGAAACTGTCGTCATCATCTCGGTGATGTTGCTGCAGCAGACAGAGAGGAGGGAGGCTTTTATATTTCCAAAAGTCTGGATCGTAAGAGTTTTATGCTCAGAGGGTGATTAGCACATTTTCATGATATTAGAGGGGAAAATGAAAATCATTCCAGAAATGTGGGCTATTAAAATCCTAATTAAAAGTTACAGAGGGATGAAGAGTTGGTTAGATTTACACAGAGATATAGCAGAGGTGTCCTTCACCCTCTTCCAAACTGCCTAGTCATCATCATCATGAATGTACTGCATTAGAAGAAACTGTCTCCTGGACATGTGCTGGAGCCTTTTGTGTTATTAGCAGCTCATGTTTTCCATTAAGGAAAATGAGGAAGAGAAATGGAGCCGTGAAGACAGAATCCCCGCGGAGTCCATCTCTGTTCTGTCTGCTACTGCTGCTGCTGCTGCTGCTTTCACTGAGCTGCTGCATGAAAAACTGATTTCTAGGCTGAACAGGAGCTGCGACACGATAAAACCTGCAACAATTACAACACAGAGAAGACGGTCTTCTATAAACTCACTACACTCACATGCCTCTGCTTCAATCTCATCTTCAACTCACAAAATAAATATATGTGTTTAATCCATCAGTGGTATTAAAGATGTAACAACAGTCTGTTCTGTAGGAGATCTGGGTTATCCCAAATCATCCAAGACCTTCAGCCATTTATGATTTCCTTGAAACTTCATTTTTAATCATAAATAGGGACATTTAAAATGGTGTCTGTGAAATTTCAGCCAAATTTATCAAACACTTTGCGAGACAAGAAAAAAAAGAAAAAAATTGAGTTGATCCCCTTTGAGAACTATTTGGACAACAAAATCTGTCATTTATCGCTAACCATTAAAGTAATAATGTCATTGATTTATTGATTCATGTCAATAGGTGCAATATTGGACAAGTAGATGAAATATGGGTGAGTTGAAATATGAAAGAAATATTTAAGCCATCATGAAAAGTCCCATCTTTCAGCTCACATTAACAAGAAAATTAATTATGTAAAAGTCACCTAGCAGTATTGTCTGAGCCAAATGTAGCTGCATGTCACAATAATACAAAACAAAACATATAGAATTTAGTTTTTTATATGAACAATTGGTAGCAAAAATGAACAAAAACTTATTTTTGTTGAACTTTTATAGCAGGTATGACAAGTTGTACCACAAAAACACAAAAACTCCAAAGTTCTGGTGGCATAAAATGGTTCTTAAAATATAACTAAGAGGTTTGTTTGTTTTTTAATATGCATATTTTCACTTTTGGACCTTGGCTTTTATCTTTAATAGTTTCTAAAATATCGTTGTTTAAACATAGCTTCAATTTGCAAAAAAAAAAAAAAAAAAAAAAACATGCTCAAAATGGGTAAATGTTTTTTTTAATTTTTTAATTTTAATTAAAAGGTATATGGAAAGTATTAGATATGACAAACTCAAATCTCATCAACATCTTTTACGTATCCATATTTTAGGCAATAAAAATCTCAGACAAACCAGAGCTAGTCGAGCAGAAACTGTTCTAAAGCTTTGATGATCTGGAATGACTCATGATCACAAATGTAAAGGCTTTAACTGGGCTGCCTTTTGTTTAAATCTGTTTAACTCCTTCGGCGTGTTCTTTAATCAATGTGGAAAATGAGTCAAAGTAAAACAAGGACACAGTCTGACACGATGTCTATACTGAAAGTTCATCTCTGGTAGTTTAATAACCTCCTAACAACTCGTCTCTGGGTATCAAAATGACATCTTTTTGTTTTTTTAGTTTTTGGTATTAAAAAATCATCCCTCTGTGTCTTAAAATGACTTAGACGTAACTCTACATCGCTGCATCCTCTACAATGTGCAGATCAATGAACTCCCTGCATCTTTCTCTGCCGTTCACTGCTGCTCGAGCGCACCAGCTCGCCTAGGACTTCGCTCAAACACTGCAAAATGACTCCACATTACACAGTGACAAGCTGTAATGGACTAACTCAGCCGTACGTGTTCATACTGGAAAACAATTCTGGTTGACTGGTTATTTTGCTCATGATGTGTCTTCTAACATATGAAAAACATATTTAGTAGAAGTGGATAAGCAACAAACTGCTGCCCACGTGTCTCTGCTGTCTCACCCTTCGTTGTGAGTCCACAGCAGGTTTGGTCCGAGGACGATCGCGATGTTTCCGGGCGTCATCTTGTTCACGTCCTGATATTCAGTCAGTTTGGAGAGGAATTTGATCAAATACCTGTAAACACAAGCGCGGGAAACAGTCAGTTAATTAGTGAAAACATGCTTTGAAGTCACATTAACTGGCAGATGCTTTCATCCAGACTGACCTACAGATACATTCAGTACATTAAGCCTCAGATTAAATACATTTTGCCGTATACGCCAGTCTACTCTTATACATAGTTGTAATCATTTATTCAACAGAAGCTACATCCGTCCAAACGGATATGAATATGAATCAACGCCTCTCCATAACAAAACCTAAATGTTATAATCTTAACCCTTTGAGCCGGATAAATGCATTTTGCAGAAGACTACAGTATGTGAACACATCAGGAAATGGCAGTTGTTTCTGTTCGGCACTAAGCACACACATCTGATATGTATTGATATATTGACATATATATATATATATTTAGACAATCTCAACTATGAAAATCAGTTATGAAAAAAATATCTCTACCGCAACCATTTTAGAATCCCAGCCACTATGTATTTTATTGCTAAGTAGGTTTTCATACACGAGGAATTTGACTTGGTGTCTAGAAATGTTTAAACATGATTTTTTTTTTTTATCTCGCAAGTCAGTAGACAGTGCATGACAAATAAGACGCTAATGTTACAGGTGAAATCAATAAGAATTATAAAAGTAAGATTTCCATTGTGCAGGAAAGTGCAGATTTATCACATAGTATGAAATGTAAAGCTTGAAATGTGCAAAAAGTCCTATTTATAAAGCTGAGCCTTAATGTTACGCCTATATAGAGACAGTGTTTTAGGGTGAGATGCATGGACTTCCTTAACATAACGGCTAATAGAAAAAATGCTATTAGATCTAATGATGATAGCCCAGACCGTTCTAAAATAAAAACAAAATACATCATGTTTAGCTGGTCCTGATAATGAGCAACAACAAAAAATCTGAGAAGTACAGGTAGTGAAATTACCCAGAAAATATCCTGTTAGGGTTAAAAATGGAGGATTTAGATATTACTATTAGATTGCACTACGTGTTCCCAATAAACTGTCAATTGAGTGTATATGTGGAGCGAGACCTGTAAAGTGAGAAATGTGGGAAACACCAGAACAATACCGGGCTGTTCTCGTTCATCCAGGTCAGGATTCCAGCCCTGATTTATTCAGGTCAATGTCAAACAATAGATAATGTACACAGTGTACAGTACGTAGCTGCAGTGAGAACACCGAGGCGAAGCTTATTGCTGCAGCCGACCATCACAGCCAGTGTCAGAGGCTCAGAAATGGGCCAGTGGGTTTCTGTGGCTGATGACTCATCCTGAGCCTGAACCACAGCTGGATGAACATCAGCCCGGCGAGCGGCGATCATCTCGGAAGCCTGACAGGTCTCCTCAGAGGACGAGCGTCTAAAAATACGTCCTATTTGTGCGATTCGATGGTGGCACTGACGAGCGGCGCAGCATCTTTTCGTTTCCTCTCCTTCGTTTCCCCTCATCGTGCCTTCCCTCCGTCTTCCTCTACTCACGAGACGAACCCTTCATTAGAAATCTATGCTTTAATCTGGTTTAATCCAGCAGCAAACAGAGCAACACCTGAGCTCCCAGGCCTCCTTCTCCACACTGTATCACACAGGTCAGTGTTGTTCTTTCTCCTGGCAGCTAAATCAATCACTCAGACTGTATTTGTAGAGCAGCTCAGTGCAGTTTAAAGTGTTGCACGGGTGACGGACAAGCCGACAATAAGAGAAAACACAAAGAGAGAAAAAAATAAAGCCTAAAAAAAGAAAAAAGTCAGAATAAAAACTAGATGAAATTAGATTTAAAAAAGCATACAAATACATTAAAACAATATAAACTAGAATTAAAAAAAGATTGCTAAATGAGATTATCCTTCTGAATTCCGAGCATTTTTTTTAAACTGTTTTTGCTCTTGTCACATTTTTACAAACTGTGTTCTCATTTTTAAATATAAAGTCCTGCACCTCTATGGAAACAGCAGAACCATTGGTAGAAATAGAGAGACATTCAAAATGTATTTTGTGCAAAATGACAAAGATATGATTCCATCATTCTTAAAAAAAAAAAAAAAAAAGAAAGAAAGAAAAATGAAAGTTTAATTTCTTCAATTACTTCTTTGACAACATTTGGAGAGGGGAAAAAAAAAGTTACCAAAACTGGAGATAACATGTTGGCTCCATTTACTATATATATTTTACCCATTTACATGTTTAGTTTCCATACTTGCCTCTTTGTGTGAACACAGCCTGCAGTTCAGCCCAGTTAAGTAAGAAATCCCTGAATTATTGTTGCAGGACTGTTTCTGAATCTTGTATTTTTCACAGAATCTGGTCACTGCAAACACTTTAGTTTTGGAAAATTATTGAAAAATAGAGATTTTGATGAAATATGATGATCCTAAGCTTATGTTTGGTTGATTTTCCCAGCAAAAATGAAAGTTAGACATAACAAGTCCACGGATATTCAGAAAGCTGACACTTAAATGATATTTTCTTTTTTACAGTTTCTTGACAGCTTTGACAAATGTTGTAATTTTGGCAGTTTTCCAAACATAACACGCCGTGTAAATCCACCGGCAGGTTTTGGGCTTTGCTCACTGGTTTGTTATCAGAAGTTTGGGACATTTCTTCTCACTTTGTGAAAACACTGCCTACAGTTCAGCCAAAATGTCACAGAGTCTTTTGTCATGCAACTGTTGGTCTTAGCTGGTTGGTCATGGCTTCACATTTGCACCAAATGCAGAATTTTTTGGTTCTTCTTACAGAATTGGGTGCAAATGGTTTATTTTTAGTGAACTTTGAACATGATTTTGATCGCAATTTTAAGCTTAGATTTTCCAAACAGAGCTGGAAGTTAAACATGATTAGTTCAAGGACTGTCGGAAAGTTGAAAACCTGAGATTCTTTCAGTTTTTAAAGTTTCTGGCTGTGATAAACTGTGCATTTTTTGTATTTAAAAAAAAACAGCAACATGTGATTCAAATCCGCCGGTGGGCTTTTGGGGTTCAAAGAGTTGATTAAATATGCACATATAAAACACCAGGACTCAGCAGAGAAACCACAACATGAAAACTGGAACTCACTTGAAGTTGTTGTTGTTGGCTGGAGGAAGTTTCTCGCAGGCGTTGAGCAGAGCCTGGAGTCGCTTGTCTTGATCTTGGATGCTGCAGGATGAGAGAAAAGATTTGGGGTTTGTAAGAAAAGTGAAGAAACATCCAAAACCTAAGACGACATTATTGTGTAAAGCTACACACTTGGAGGCCTGGATCCAGTCGTTGTAGAGGTCAAAGGTCATCAGCGGCTCGGGAAGCTCACGCAGGTACGACTTCAGAGCACCTGAAAGGGAGCGAGACACATTTGCCATAAATACATGTTTGCATATTTATGTGCATATAGAAGAAGATCCACCTGCAGTTTCTGTACAGTGACCAGCAGGCGATGCGTTTAAGTACGACATGTGTGAGCAGGTAACAGTGTGAGACGACAAGAGGAGGCCGGATAATGATAAACATTAGAAGGAGCCAGCTGAGACCTGATTAGCACTTCAACACCTCATCACACGTGTACAGTGTTTTATTCATGCCCTCAGCTTTTTTTGTTGTGGATGTAATTTCAACAAACCCCTGCAGGAAAACTGAACTCGGTGGATGGATGCAGGTACGGGAGCAGAACTGCGTGGAGCCTGGATCTGATTGCATGTGTGAGCGGGTGTAATTTCCTGCAGATTATTGCCCTGTGGAAGACTCTGTGGTTTTATATGTGTGTGTACCATTAACCAGAGTCTATTCTAAAACCCTGCTAGTGATCAGGCTGGAAATAAAGCAGCCACCCTGACACATTGTGTGAATACAAACCAGAGAGAAACTCACACAACAACAAACCGCGTCGTTCAGAGAAATCACATCTTTTGTTTACAGGTTAGTTTCAGTCCGTCACACTCAGACGTTTTGCTGCATGTAACTATTTCCTCAGGTGGCAGGTTGAAATATTTTCTCATCTGCAGCTTTTTGTAATGCAAACATGTTGTGCTTTGTGATTCACACCTATTTCATTCTACTCTTGTATCTCACTCAGCTTTTTTCATTTGATATTTAACTTTTTGTTGCACTTTTCATGTGAACAAACCAATGCAGCACTATTAATGTCGTCTGAAATGTGCACCATTGCTCCTGTTTTTTTTTTAGCAATATATATTCCGTTTAAACAGATTTTCTTTTGACAGAACTGCATAACAGAATAGATGCTATAATGCGATATCTCATGACATTCATTGTCATCTTTTACACTGCAAATATAGACAACGTCAAACAAAACAAAGGGGAGCTTGACAAAACTACACCCACAAACACAGACAAAACATTAATATAGAACAACCCCTAAGCATGACACACAACTATGAAAGACACAAAACAACCAATCCAATGAGGGCAAAACAATACTAATATATAAGGGGGGAAAAACAACTTTAAACTCCAGTGTGATCATTTGGAATGATTAACATCTTATATCTTAAGAACTGTTTTAGAGAGATCTTAACTCTGCTATTAAGCCTTTATTATAGTTGTAGCTAAACTAGTTTTCTTGTCAATGTGAGTCCTCTTGGAAGACTCTGTTGCATGCATGTGCAGTAGATTATATCTACATATCCCACAAATGCACGCTACTGCTGACTGTGCTCACTTTTGCACCTGGGGTATAGTTGCAGATGCAAATTGTGGGCTGCATGCAGATGTGTGTGGAGATGGCAAAATCCTCTCCTGCTCTCATATAAAGGCCACTTGTTTTCCCCTCATCTTCTACTTCTGAATTCTGAACATGTCGTACATGTAGTAAACTCTCTGTGCATCTGTGCAATATCAGTATTGTCAGTGTCAGTATAAAAATAAAAGAGAAAAGGTTGCACATGCTCTGACTTTAGCTAACACAAACAAAACCAGAGCTTGGAAGATTAGCCTGGTTTCTTCTCAGATCACTTAAACCTCT